CCGCAGAACTGGGTTGGCTGTGAGGAAGTATTTGTTGTTAAGATTATTTTTTCATTCAGTTTTTCCAGTTACGAGTCCTTTTTTTTTTTAAAGCTAATCGTTTTGTGTTTAGCTATTTTGTTTAGTTCTTTTTTCGTAACAGATTTAATGTTTAGTATATAGCGTGGAAAAAAATCGCAGTGTGAGATAGGCAAGAAGTAAGGCATGTAGCAACATCAGCACGGCAAAGGGCACTCCTTTAAAGGCAAGGAAGGGCAAAAATATTTTAAGTCAAGTGATAGTGATTGCTGTATGAGTCGTACGATTTTTGAATCAAGCATGGGCAACGCCGGGCCATGCTGCTAGTAAAAAATAAGAAGCGAGAAAGTTTACGCTAAACTGAAGAGGAAATGAAGGTCTGCTTATTGCACATTCGACCAAACATTGAAGAAATCGCGTAAAAAAACTAGGTTCAGATTTCACACTAAATAAGCTGCACAAATAGTTGAATAGAAACATTGAAAAAGTAAGTTTATATTTTTGTGGGTATTTTTTGAATTATTTAATTTTATTTCATAACATTTAAATATGTACCGTTTAAAAATTTTGCTAAGTCTGCCGTGGTATTTTCATTTGTTCCTAGGTGTGCCTCTGCTTAAAAAGGTTGAGAAAAACCGTGTTAGACTATCTCTGTCCCGTAAGTACTGCTACATTTAGTGTATGAAATGTGTATGCAAATGGAGCATAATGGAGTTCTTGATAAGATCCAGAGGCGGATATGCAATATAATTGGCCATGTTCTGGCATCTCGTCTACAGTCACTTTCTCACAGACGTGCCGTCGCCTCTCTCTGTCTTTTTTACAAATACTTTCATAGTAATTACCCCGAGGAACTGCATTCGCTGGTTCCCAGACTTCATGAATGCAAGCGCCCTACGAGGCTGGAATCCCGCTCTCACCCTTTCACTGTCGAAACTATTAAATCTAGCCGTCTCTTCTTGTCCAATAGCTTCATATCTCGCACCTCTCGCCTGTGGAACTTCTTTCCCTATTACTGTTTCCCTGAGAGCTATAATCTCCAACTATTCAAATGTAATGTCAATCGACACCTCCAGTTGCCTTGATCTATCCACTATCCTTCTCCTCATCCTTTCCTCTATCACGCCTATCTGATCTTGCTCCAAATCTTCTGTAACCCCTTGCGTCCTTGCTTGGGGTGAAACGATTAATGTATATATATATATATATATATATATATATATATATATATATATATATATATATATATATAATATTAGTGGTAAATATACACATACATATGCAAAATATATAAATATATATACATAGGTGCATACACATACATTTATATTTTTTTAATAAAAATTCCAAGAGGATAGAATCCAGGTAGAACTCAATGTCCAGGACAGAGTAAGCATATAATAAAAAGGCTTAAACACAAATATTCCATGGTCATAATTTATTCCATTGGAATCATAAATACGATCCAATTCATCAGACCTACAAATTCAAAAAGAAAACAGAAAAAACAACTCCGGCAATAAAAAATAGAATTTAGAGAGAGTGTCAGTATGAGAGTGTGGGACGAATGTTAGAGCTAAAGAGAGGGGTAACAGACGAAATACTGTCACGGCATATATATATATATATATATATATATATATATATATATATATATATATATATAATAAAAAAGGCTTAAACACTAATATTCCATGTTCATAATTTATTCCATTGGAATCGTAAATATGATCCAATTCATCAGACCAACAAATTCAAAAAGAAAACAGAAAAAACAACTCCGGAAATAAAAAATAAAATTTAGAGAGAGTGTAAGTATGAGAGTGTGGGACGAATGTTAGAGCTATAGAATAATGGAATAAATTATGACCATGGAATATTAGTGTTTAATCCTTTTCATTATATCCTTACTCTGTCCTGGACATTGAGTTCTACCTGGATTCTATCCTCTTGGAATGTTTTTTTTATACAAATATATATGTATGTGTATGTATGTACGTATATATATTTATATATTTTGCATATGTATGTGTATATTTACCACTAATATTACACACACACACACACACACACACACACACACACACACACACACACATATATATATATATATATATATATATATATATATACAGTGCTGTTCGATAAAAGTGACTCACCTGAGTTTTTTTACTTAAAAATTTTTTCGCCTATTGTTTTTGGGCTCAAACAAATTTTTAATCTTACTAATATAAAGACCCATTCCTGACCACCTAGTAAAAAAAGTTTACTCACCCTAAGGTATTCTATTGATAATTATAATTTTGGATATAAATGAGATTTAGTGAAAAACTCTATGCAAAAAAAAGTAACTCATTTATTTCCTGCAACTAGAAATCAATTGAAACATAACCGAACAGCTTTAAATAAAGAATAATAGAGGTATAATTTATTTATAATAGGTAATATAGTTCGAAATATTTAATAATCTATGGGTCCTCCTTTATTTTGAATAAACTTTTCAACCCTTTTAGCATTGACTTGATTAGGTTCTGGCAAATCTCATCTCCAAGCATTGGATTCCATTCGGATATGAAATTCACAATACAATCCTCTTTCTTGCTCAACTGCTTTCTCAAGAGCCTGTACTTTATAATGCTCCATAAGTTTTCTATGTGGTTGAGGTCAGGAGATTGGGGCGGCCATGTCATAACACTCACCTGCTTCTCATCAAAGTATTCCTTCATCAATTTTGATTTGTGACAGGGAGCATTATCCTGCATAAGAATGATCTTGGTGGGGTCGATTTTCACCCTTTCAGCAGAAGGGAGCAGATAAAACTCTAAAATTATCTTGTACTGCTCGCTCCTAAGGGTCTTTTCAATAGGTTTTATGAAACCAGTTCCATGAAAAGAAAAGCATCCCCAGAACATTATACTGAACGGATGCTTGACAGTACTTACTGCTAAATTCAAAGAGCTTTCAAAGCTTCTTCTTCGGATTTTAGATCGCTTATCCTTTGAATTCAGATCAACTTTCATTTCATCGGAGAAGAGAACATTCTTCCAGTCTTCTACGGTGAAATTTTTGTAGTGAGCCCATTTTTTTTCTCTTAAGTTTCTTGGCTTTGTTGGCTTTGCTTATTAGCAGCTTAAACCTTCGTGTGCAAGATTTGTAGCCTTGTTCTTACAGCCACCGACAGACTGTTGAACAGGCAAGACTAACACCTTGCTCTTCGATTAGACTGGCTGCAATTTCTTGGCTAGTTATAGTCCTATTCTTCGCAAATTCTCTCTTGATTACCCTGCCAGTTCTATCAACAATCTTTTTCTTTCGTCCCATTGTTTCCTTCCTTGGAGCAGGAGTGGCATCATTATGTGCCCTAAGCTCTCTCTCGAGAGTTGATTGCGAGGTTATAGCAATTTCTGCAATTTCTCTCGTAGACTTGCTTGCTTTTGAGAGGGCAATAATAGATGCCTTAAGTGGTTCTGAGTGGCTATTTCAAGCTGTTTTTATACTGTATGAGGCTTTCTGGAATTTAATTTAAGCTGTTCTAGAATTCTCTAAAATATTGTTCTGAGGGTATTGTAAAATAGTTTTCAATATTTTATCAAAAGATCATTAAATTTACCAGTTTAATCATTAGAATGCGATATCTGAGTCACTTTTTTTTCCTGAATCTCATTTATATCCAAAATTATAATTATCAATAGAATACTTTTTTCCTAGGTGGTCGGGAAGGGGTCGTTATATTAGTAAGATTAAAAATTATTATAACCCCAAAAATAATAGACAAAAAATATTTTTTGTAAAAAAAAAATCAGGTGATTCACTTTCATTGAACAGCACTATATATATATATATATATATATATATATATATATATATGCCAGTATCTATTGCTTTATAAAACACAAAACGTACCACGCTGTTTTTGTTTATATATATAAATGTAAACCAGATACAATTTTCATATTTTTTGATACATAACCGCAAAATATGTTCACATTTAAAGGGTATAACCTATGTGTTGTTTACTGTGAATAATATGAAAGTACTATGAAAAACTGAAAATATCAAAAGTGGTTTATGGAGATTTTTGCCAAATGTTGTTCTACAATATGATAATATTTTAGTTAGAATAAAGAAATCATTTTAGAATCTAAGTTGTGCCAAGACTATATTTTGCCAAAGATTATATATATATATATATATATATATGTATATATATATAATATGTTAATATGTTAAAGATTATATATATATATATATATATATATATTATTATATATATATATATATATATATATATATATATATATATATATATATATATATATATATATATATATATATATATATATATATATATGTTAATATGTTAAAAGATTGTATATATATATATATGTATATATTGTTATATATTGTATATATATGTATATATATATATATATATATATATATATATATATATATATATATATTACGTTGATGACCTAGAGTCGCCACTATGTCCTGGGTATGACGATAAACTATATCCGCGTCCAGAGTAAGACGATAAACTACGTCCAGCAGCAAGGCCTCTGATCAGGAGGTTTTGAGGAGTGTGGAACCACCTCTTAATTGCTGGTGCTCCCAGGTCCACCCTGACCCGGAGTGGTAGCACCTGTTAGGATCCCTACTATGGGCAAATAGTTAACCCCAAAACTGAGGTAAAAGGCATTATGAAAGTGTAAAAATAAGTTTTAATACCAGAAATGCTTTGTAAATAATTATTACCAGAAATAATTTTTTGAAGAAAAAACTATTACCAGCAATACATTTTAAAATAATATTACTAGCTATACATTTTTGAGGAAAAAAATATTACCAGAAATAGATTTTTTGACAAAACATAATATTACCAGGAAAAAAATGTCGGCATTAAATAGCCCGTTGAGGATGATATGTCGTAAAACAAAAACAAACAAACCAGCAACGCTACTGTAACATATATGACCGAGAGTCACTACTGTAATCTATCTATCTATCTATCTATCTATCTATCTATCTATCTATCTATCTTTCTATCTATCTAATCGACTCTCCCGTCGAATTCGACGTATGAGGGTCAAGCAGATCAGTTTCCAGGAAACCGACAGCCCGAAACCAGCACATGAGATTTGATTATAGTGGTGAAGGTTTCGTGCAGGACCATCCACACTTTTTGAAGGGTAGATTACAGAGACCTGGTGCACTACGTGCCACAACGTCCCCAAACTACTCTCCGCAGGTTTTGAATTCAGAGTTGTTGTTATTCTAGACAGACTGGGTTCTATAGCCTTGGATGGCAACTGGTCTCCTAGACTCCTAAACCAGTTACCATCCAAGGCTATAGAACCCAGTCTGTCCTGATATTTACCCATAACTGGAGGGAGAAGAAGAGGATTCACACCTTTCCCAAGGGAATTAGCACGTAAGTGAATGTAATGGATTCGACTATATATATATATATATATATATATATATATATATATATATATTGTAAAAACAAAACAAATGTAACATTCATAGAATGTTGATTTTTGCTTGAAAAAAAATCTGAGGGCTTATTGAAGATATCTTCAATCTCTTCATGATTAATAATAATCTTTACAAGCTTGGGTCATTTTGATCAGTTTCTAGGATACTTTTTCATACATTCTCCGTTTTCTAAGCATGGAATCGAGGGGATTTATAACATGAGTCATTGTTTTCTCTTCTTTTTCTCGATGGTATTGAAGTGGCTTTAGTTTACCCAATACATGTCTTCTTTATTCTTTGTTTGAGTACCTGTTTATTTTGCGTACATTAAGCCTTGGGACTTGATTACAAGATCATAACATAGAATCACATTCGTTTAATTTTACTTTGATCATTCTCGAATTAAGTTCGATTTCGACTTTACTATTTATCTTAGACGACGACGACCGTATCTAACGGAAATGTCAATTTTAATTTCGATTTAAATAAAACTCGAATTTTATTACTAGTCCTTTAATTATAGTATTATTTCGAAGTTTACTCCTTATATTGATCGCTTTATTGTAATTTGAAGCAAATCCAAACTGAAATCTGGTAAACAATTATTCTAGAGCCAATAATAAATGCATCTTTTGAACGAAGAACTTTCAATGATTTCAGCCGATAACATTCGGATAAGTTGATATAGTTTGAAAAGAAACGCTTTTAGATTTATTGACCAGTCAGAACGACTCCTCAAAACAGCTTATCTAATCCGATTAACCTTTATATAAAGAAAGCTGTCCTCCAGCAGAGCAAGAGTCGTGTTCGTTCGTTTATCCCTCCGAGCCCTACACACACACACACACACACACACACACACACACACACACACACACACACACACAGAGAGAGAGAGAGAGAGAGAGAGAGAGAGAGAGATCTTAATTCAAGTTTTGATTCAAACAGAAGTATTAGCAAATGCCTACGATTAGTTTTTATTTTTGCATATAAATTAATTAAAGCGTGATTGAATTTTTATTTTATTAATAATCTTATAATCGATTTTTAGGTGTAATTCGCATCTAAATTAAAACCTTTCTTGGCTGCCACACGTTTGGTGTTAATTATCACGTTAAGTAATCTACAAAATCGATTTCTGTTCAGCCTAAAATTAACTAACCAGTGCCTCGACAATATTCGATTTTTATTCAATCACGGATTTCACTTCGAATGCGACAGATATTTTATTGTACATCTTACTTCACGATCATACATAGTAACAATAAACGTTTAATTTTAATTACTATCTAATTTCATTTCGGTTAAGATTAGAATTAAAAGATTGATACCAGGTCACATTGATCTTGTATATATTTTGATTTAATCGTGTTGATTAGTGTCTTATTGGATTTTTCTAACATCGTCAATAAAGAAACAGTTTGCGTCTTTTTTTATCAATGTAATGTGTGACATAGTTACATCATCACATGTATGTAAGTGTGTTGCTCCAACTAGCGATACTGTCTTTGTACGGTAGTGGGCCGTATCGGTTATGATACTACATTGGCCAATATACCAAATTTGCACGGCTTCTGTCTCTTACTGAAAATCAAATCGACCGTATTTACATCATGAAAAATATTTTGTCACAACACATATTGTCTGAATTGGCTATTTTTATTGTCCCCAGGAGGAGAATTTTGTCAACTACTTAAGTGTTTTCTTTCTAACGTTTTGTTTTAAATACAAACCTGTATGCTACTGTGGCACCATGCATCCAGGCAGAAAAGAAGAAAGGAAGGAAAAAGTAATGCGAGACGGATCATAGGCGAACACACACACACACGGCTTAAGAGGCAATAAAAAAAAAGGGTTATTTTGGATAAGTGGCAAATGCCGAAAGGAGTATCATTACAAAGACAATGAGATTGAGTGGGTAGGGAAGTGTTATCTAAACTATTGGTACGAGAAAGCATCTTACTATCAAAATTAAAGGCCACCTGCGAGCAAGCATTGACCGATTTCCCCACTTGTCCGCGCGAATGGAACTGGGTTATCAAGAAATGTTCACCAAAGAAAGTCCACTTGAAAACGTTAGATTTTGATAATTGACAAAACACAGGTGTAGCTTGGAGCCTTAGCTGGGTATGGAAAATTAAAATCCCACACAAGTAGTCTCACTAGTTAAGCTCTTTTTGACAAAACAGACTTTTGCCCTGCGATAATAAAATTTTGTTATCAGACACATGAACCGAAGGAAAATGAATGGAATTAGAAATGTTTTTATTGCTGCCTCGGAGACGTCAGACTGGCTGAAAACTTGGAGAAAATCCCTTTCTTAGACCATGTCGGAAAATCCAGCCGTCTGATGCATTACCGATAAACTGCTTGACAAACGCCACGTGTTGAACAAATAGTTGTCACATTATCCGTTCATGATAACGGCGATTTGAAAGAAAGAAAAAGAGAAAGAGGAGAGATCATTAATTATTTTTAGTTAAGCAAGGTATATTTCTTTTCCAAAACAAAGCCGCGGGTTGTTCACGCCCGACTAAGACGTCATTGGTCAAGTGGTGATCACATGACGCACGAAGGAGGAGGAAATATACCCGACCAAGACCTCATTGGCCGAGGGTGGTCACGTGACGCATGAAGAAGACTGTCGACGCCCCCATCCAGAGTATAAGTATGAGAAGCCGCTACGAAGAAGTGGGGAGGGCAGTTCACGCCCCTCAGAAGCATGGTGAGAAAGTGGGAGTGAGAAAAAAGTTACCAAAAATGGAAAAGAGTGGAAAATCCCTAACCAGAAATAAAAGAGGTGGATATATATTTAGAATTATCGAGGAACTCCCCGACGCCAACAGACCCAACCCGGTTTTTGACGGCGTCAATAAAAACGAGGCCCCAACAGGCAGAAATCAGTAGTTCGCGCCCCGACGGCAGAGATGAGTGCCCAGTACTTCAGACCCTGGCGGGCAGAAGTTAGTTCAGTCCCGGACGGCAGAGATGATAGACCAAGATAGCTGACCAAGATTCACACAAAATTTTGGACTCCTCTTCAACCAAGAACAATTATTTTGAAGAGCGACTTAGAACCAGACCACAGAAATAAGTTTTTCGACTTTCGTCCAAAGACACACCGAAACACAAATTTCTTAGAGAGCAAACAACTTGAAGCGTTAAAACTTGCCTAGCGAAAGTGACGTGTCACAATCCACAGAACGGGTCGGGAGATAGATGCAGTCCTATGTATCGAACAACTAGACATAAAGTTTGTTACCTTTTTCTTTGATACTTTGAACTTTTTGAGTTTTCATTTTATTTTCTTTTATGCATATTTGTGTGTTCCACCCCCGTTGAACTCAATTTGCATTACGGCCCCAACCCCTGTTTGATCTCGTCTGTCTAAGATCAATTCACAACGTGGGTAGGCAGACTAGAGATCAGTGCAGTTACCTTGGTAACCAGGCGTTGGAAGCGAGTTGGGAACGGCGAGGCTGATATCAAATCTAACCAAATTCCCACCCGAATCACCAAAAGGTTAGAACGTCACATTTGGGTGCCGCGACCGATACCAAGCCAGTTGGTCGTCACAGTACGAGACAACACGACTGACGCGACAGGCGAACGTCACGTTTGGAGCAGCGACACCCGGACGGAGCAGCGAGGAGCGAACAGCTAGCGCCGCGGCGAAGACGTCACAATTGGTGCTGCTTAGGGACGTCACAACTAGTGTCGTGACCGGGATAGGACCCTGGAACGGCCACGTCACAACTGGCGCCATGGTAGATCAGGATAGAACGTCACAGTTGGCGCTGCGACCGGGGGACGACGTCACACTACAATATAATCTTTAGAGAACTGTCTAATTTTCAAAAGAAATATTTAGCATTTATCGACCGAATAGCCAGGACTACTCCCGGTTGAAATTGATAAAATCTTTTTGTTAAACATTTTTTTCTGGAAAATAGGTTCCTCATGTCCAGTAATTGTTATAGCTCTTTCCAGTATTGATGGGAATTTCCTTCCTAACCTTTTGTTTGAAGTTGTGTGGAACGTCAACATCTTGATTATGTCATTATTTTCTCTTTCCGTTACATGTGATATCTATTTAAGTTGTTGCTGCCGTTGAAAGATCAGAGGTGGTGTGGTTTTTGTTAGTTGGTACAGTTCTTTGTGTTCCTCCAGTCCACAAGGTTCGAAGAAGGATAGTCTTCGCTGAAACCAAGAGTTAATTCGCTCACAGTCATTTTGAGGAAGTGGTTGTATACAACTGAGAGTTTAGATTCTTTTGAACTAGTTTGACGCGATGCATGGCATCCATTTGGAAATCCCGACATGACAAGGCTAATTAAAAAGATGACTCGAGTTTTTAGGCGAATATTTTGCTTTTGTAGCTATTTTTAATGACTAAAACATTGTTTTGATAGGTTTGTTTTTTACGGCTTATCAACCCTTTTGCAGTTATTTAAAGCCAGAAAATATTTCTAGATTGTAAGAATTTTTGGGAGGTAATAATTATTTTTACTTATACAAGTTATACTAATTAACCCTAAGTACGATGGAGAAGAAGTGGATCCATACCTTTCCCAAGGGTATTTGCGCGTGAGAATATAA